GAAAGAGGTGAAGCAGGGGCAGGAGAAAGTGGGGTGGACATTTGGGGAAGGGGTAGAGTGGACATGGGGCCTGGAGCACAGGTGGAGAATCGTGCATCTCTTGTCAAGATGAGAGTTGGTACCTACATCACCAAACCACCAACATATATAATGTCTTGCTTCTCAAGTGAATAGTTGTTCTGAAGTGATAGTTCAACTGCAAACAGGGAAAGGTCTAGCCATCAAAGAGGGTGGTATTTCTATTTACCTGTGAAAAATATTTTGTTTGTGTATATAAAACAAAGCATCCACCATCTGCCCCAGGAACCTCTGAATCACCTATTAACAGGAATATACATGAAAATGAAGTACACGAAGACTAACTACATGGTGAAATAAGACATGTCTAATCACAAAAAGGCTGCTTAGCATGATACAGGTTCCAGTCCAGGTGGCAACACTACTCTCACTTTCTGCAGATCAATTATCCCGCATCTCACCCCTATGAATTGGGTACTATTATCAATTCAATTTTTCAGAAGAATAAACTATGGCACATAAAACTTCTAATTCTCTTTCCAGCTCTGCCACTGAATCATTGTACAATCACAGTAATACTTATTAGCACTTATATAATTGTGTGCTCCTGAGTAACTCAATTTTTAACTCCTGGTCTTCTGCTGTAAGCGATAGATCAGGGGTGTAGAACCCACTGCCCATGTATGTAGCTGGCCCACAGTTTGCTTTGATCCAGACCACAAGGATCGGGGTACCCAACCCCTCCTCAGAGGTGCAAGATGGCACTGGTACTCCAGCCATGGAGGGGGGGCACCGTGGCTAGAGCGCTAGCACCAGCTCCCTGCTGCAGGAGGAGAGGGTTAAGCCCCAAGCCTCATGGGCCCGATTCAGGCAAGCTAGGGCTAGATCCAGCCTGTGGGCTCTGCCTGGGAGGGGGAATCGGTTCTGCATTTTCACAGAAGCACTCTGTGCAGGCATCACCCCCCAACGCTCCCATTTGCTGAATTGTGCTCTCACACATTCCCTCCCATTCGGACCCCACCCTCTTCCTGCATACCCTTCCAATCCCCATGCCTCCACCCCAGCTCACTCCTGCAGCCCCCTTCCAGATCTTACAATTCCACTCCCATCCTGCTTCTGCACAGACCCACACTCCAAGCTCACTCTTGCACCTTACCTCCTGTCCAGACCCCACGTCCCCAGCTTGCTCCCTAGTAGCTCCCTCCTGTGCACCGAGCCCCTTATTTTTGGCCCCATCCCAGGGCCTTGCAAAATCTACAAGCCACTAACCCCTGGGCTCTGGGGTGGAGCTTGAGGTAAATGTCTTTTTTTCTGCTTCTCAATTGAGGGCCACATCAGTGAGGGGATTTTTTTTCTCCTCACTTGGGGACCAGGTCAGTGAGGGTGGGGGGAGGAGGTGTTGTTGGTTTTGGGTTTTTTACTTCTCACTTGTGTGTGGCTCCCAACTGATCTGTGGGTGGGCCAGTTGCCCCGACCCAAAAGAGATTCCCCACTTCTGTAATAAATACTATGCTTTGATGTCTCGTGGGAGGAACTGGGAAAGGACAAAAGTAGAGAAAAAAGTAAAAGGGAGTGAAATTCCTTTGAATTTCAATTTTTTACCCTATCTTCTACTTTCTCTCTTTTCTTCCTTTTTTCCCCGATCAGAGATGAAAGATCTCCTTGGTTTGAGTGCTGCATCACCAGACAAAGAAACAGAGATGAAATCTGCAACAGACATTAGGCTAACATTATTCAGTCACTTGCAGGTAATGACATATCCAGCAACAAAGATGCAAATCAGCAGGTGGGCCACCGGACCAGGCAAATACATTTGGTGCACACCATAGAGGTGTGTGATGGGATTATTTGTCTCCCACAAAAGAATCACTATTTACTTTTGTCTACTTTCACATAAAACATCTGCTTCTAACAGGAACAAGGGTCTGCCTTTGAAAATATATGAGCAGTTCCACTCAAACAAAAATTCTACCGAATTCAGTGGGATTTAGGACCAAGTAGAGTGCAGGATCGACTCTGGCCTTCTGACTTAAGGGTCAATTGTTACAGTGTTTTATTGAGACATGCAAAGAACAGCAACAGCTTAAAAATTGTGTATGTCGCATATGAAAGCAAAAGGAGAAGACACTGCATACAGATAAACAGGTACTAGGATGCAACACAGCCATGTTGTACTGCCTCACATCAGTGGTAGTATAACTTCACAGAGTTGACATCAGGTAGCTCAGTCACAGACCTGTAAACCGGAAGTGTCCCCTTACGTAGCTACAGAAACTTTGACAACCCAGTAATTACTGTAGGCTACAATCTAACCAACCGCTTTTCACTCTCACCTTATTATCCCAGGTGATAAACATTTCTTTGTAAATGCAGATATTTGAATGCTGAAGTTCCAGCAGATCCATTGCCTATTGGAAAGAAAGGTAGCAAATGAAACTCAAAGCGTTTAGTTTGAGCTAAAACCCACGTCTTTCTCCAAGATTAAGAAAATATCTTGAAAACACAGAACACAAAGGACAGGTATCTGACTGGCATTCATGCTATGTCCTGTCAAACTAGCCTGGTTTTATTCTTTTTATTTTTAATTTCTATTTCACAATTGCAATCAAAGGATTGTTGAGAAAAATTAAATACTATATTTAAGTAAAGCTCTACTCTAAATACACCTCTGTACAACTATCATGGTGAGGTTCAACATTTGACATCTCACAAAGGATCAGTTCAAAACTAAAAGGATTGTTTCCTAACTGCCAGCCTTGCAAACTCATCCTAGAATTTGGAAGTCAAGCTGGGTTATTTTTGATACACCCTTCCTCTGCAGTTTCTTTGAGTCAACTGTGAATTGCAGGTGTAACTAAAATGCACAGTGTCCACTTTTCTAAATCTAGCCATAAGGTAAAGCCTCAGGCAAAGTTCCTGCAACTTGAACTTACTTAAAAATTAAGTTGTTGATGTATGAGCGGCAGCAGAATTCAGCTCACTCTCCCAAAGCTGTGTTCATGGCTCTAAAGAGCTAACTGGAGTAAAAAGGAGTAAAAACAAAGGGCCAAATTCCCAGCTAGCATACCGTCATTTACTTTCATAGTATTACCAGCAGATAATTTGGCTCAAACCTTGATCAGTAAAGTCAGCAGATCTACTTCTGAATAAACACAGGGGGCTGATATATTGAGTAGAACAGGCCATTTTCCAACCACAACGATATATTAATTGGCTTTAAATGTTCCCACTCATTTACACTGGGTTTGACAAAAGTTTTATCAAGCCCAGTGTAAATAATTACCACCTGAGAGGAGGGGGAAATTGAAAGCAACCACTGTGCATATCTCTCTTTCATTGATAAAGGGAGTGAGCATCTTTATGAGTTTTCTCTGTGCAAAACTTTTATACAGGGTAAGATGGCCCAGCAAGACAGGGTGGTGGGGAGCTCCAGGGAGCAGGAAGGTGGGCATCAGCTGCTTGATGTGATTCAACCAGTCACACTACTCCTTCTGAATAAGACCAGTAAAGAGAGGTTGTATTGCTACCTCCTTCAGGGCATCATTTGCTTGTTGTTCATCAATGCATTCAACCTGTACCAAATAAACACAAGACAAAGATAATATAACAAAAGACAAGGATAAGAATATAATACAAAGGTGGCCAAGCTTTATGACACTCAGCATCACACAAGTAACCCCCACCAGGAGAATGAGATTTGTACCCTAATTTGTATATAAATTAGCATAACTTTTTAATTAAAAAAACCCCAAATGGTCTGGTAACACTTTATAGACTAACAAAACATGCAGATGGTATCATGGGCTTTCGTGGGCACTGAAACCCTACTAGCCGCTGTTGGTGCTTGGATCTTCCTCGCAAAAACAACAGAAATTCATTGCTGGTTGGATCCAGAAGCAATAAAAAGCTGCAGCTGATTGTCTTTGTCCTTCTCCTGCATTGTGAGAGTAGCACTAGGAGGGACTCATTACTCTCTTCCACCTCCAACCTTTACAGTCTGGTAATCTGTCTGAACACAACTGCAGTTCAAGACAGTGTCATCATTCAAAGTACAAGCCAACCCAGACCCACCGCCTGTGTTGGTTTACATGTTGTTCTGTTTCCCTAGGCCCACATGCCTGAGAGTGTTACACTTGAGAGCGGCATCTTGTTGTCATGGCAACCAAGTCCTCACCTGCTTCAGTGCATATTTCTTCCCAGGACCTTCTTTCTGGGTTTTTAACTCCACCACCAGCATTGTGCCCAGAGCGCCCGTGGGGGGGAGGGGGCTCAAAAACACCTCTGAGCCTGAGTCTGCCTCACTGTGCAGCCCCCAGCTCCTCCTCCCACAGGCAGCGGCACCCCCCAGCTCCCTTTGCCCTGGGGCACAACGGGCACCCCAGTGCTCCTCCCTCATGAGCAATGGGCGCCCCCAGACACCCTCTCCTGGGGGCTGTAAGCGCCCCCAGCTGCCGGCCTCCCACGGTGCATTGGGCACCCTTTAAGTCCACCTGCCCCATGGACATCAGGCACCCCCAGCCCCTCTGCCCTGGGCTCCACGGGCACCCAACCCCCTCTCCTGTGGGCACCCCCAACCCCCCCCGGACCCTCTGTCC